TGAAGAGAGTTTCCATTTTCTCCCAGCCTTGTGCATCCATGCTGCTCTCCACAGGGTTTGGCAGGAGCCACTCAGGTGCCTGGTGATCTCTGTGTCAGTGAGGTTGGCGAGGTGCTGAGAGGCTGTCTGGGTTCTTCTTCCTGTGGGCTAAACTCAATTAGGTGCTCACCCAGAGAAGAGTTAGAAGAGTTTTGTTTACTATGGTGTATTTAAAGATGGTGATTAATGAAAGGCATTTGTTAATTGATAACAAATTTCAGAGTGGGTCACAAAGGATTTTGCTAAATGAGTCAATTTCATGCAAATATGAGTAAAATTATTGTAGACAATAATTATATTCAACTGGAGTACTATATACATAAAGAAAAGTGTAGTTTTGTCTTTTGTTGACTTCATTTCATGAAACGCCGAGTGTGCTTTTAGCACTTAAGTTCTATTTCTCCCAGTGGATCTGTTTTTTGAAACATAAATAGGTGTGCCTTTGGTTTTGCCTTCTCAGCTGAACTGTGTTGTAGGAAAAGCAAGCAACCTTGGCAGCAGTGCAGCCTGTGGCCCAAGCCCCCTGCCTGGTGGCCTGGCTAATATTTATTGTTGTTTTCTTGTAGAGTCTGTATCAGCCAGGCTCTGCCTGCACTCTTTGTCGCTGGTTTGTAAGCTGTAGGAGACATGGCTCCTCTGTTCAGTATTTCTGCTGTCACAAGCTGATGGGGTTGCTGCAACGATGTGTGAAAACACAATGTAGTTACTCCTAGTGAGAAAGTTTGGGATTGAGGTTTGAGATCTAGAGCAGAACTGAGGATATAACGTTCAGTTTAGCAATTATGGTTCAGAAAACACTATGTAGTTACTCCTCCTAGTAAGAAAGTCTGGGATTGAGCATCGAGATGTAGAGCAGAACTGAGGTTAGACTGCTGTTCAGCAGTTAGGGTTCTGTGCTGGCTGGCTGTCAGTGAAGGGCCACAGCCACGGGCTGTTGTTTCATCACTGTTCTAGGGTAGCCAAAGCTGGCCCTGCTGTGGTCTCACCCCAGCAGCCTTGTCACATCCTCCTTCAGAAGAAGTCAAGTCCCAGGAGGAGAAGAACAGAGCACAGGTTGCTTTTCTCACTTAGTTTAAGGGGGAGTGGAGTAAGTAAATAGAAAAATTAAAAAATTTGCAGGGTTTGTCAGTGGAAAAATCTAGTGTTGTGCAAACCAGCCAAACCCTTATGTATAAAAATATTAAATGTATAAACTTAATGCAAATGGCATTAAACAACCCATTCTTATTACAAATGTTGATAGAAATTATTAGGTATGCTAAATGGCCTTCTCAAATGGTGTTTTCTGCAGAAACATTAAATTATAGTTGTCAGTACAGTGCATACTTCATTGGTTTGGGATTTGAATTTTATTTTTTTTTTCTGTGAGCCAAACATAAATTTGTAGGCTATAAAATCTTTTCTGATGCTGGCGAAATGAATGTAGCTAGCAAAAATAGGTTAATGATATAATCCAGTACTTTTTTCACTACTTCTTCAATGTTATGAAAACCTGCACAGCATTATGAAGGTTTTTTGTAGACTGTTTGGGGGTGGGGAATGGCAAGAAAACACCAGGCATGGCTATATCTTCTGCTGATGGAAGCAATTATATTTAATTAATTGAAATCTCTGATTTTCCTTAGTGTTAAATAGGCTGCTAAAATACATTAGGGAGTTCAAGGAGTGAACACAGCTCTTGTTTAAACAAAATGTTTAAAAAGGCTTTGTGAGCTACTTTGTGTTTAATACATGAAATGTAGTTTTAATAGAAAAAACTAAAGCCACGTGTAAGTTATTAAACAAACAATCATTGCCTTCCACTATCCAGTGACCTTCACCTAGGGGGTTGTGTTGGAGAATACTGAGTGTGGTACTTGTGAACAAAGCAGAATTGTCATTTACTTTTGTGATGGTTTCAAAGCAATCCTCTCAACTTAGTGCAAACTCTCAACTTTGCGTTGGAGATGTATGGTTGGTAGAGGAGTAACTGGGCTAGGATTTAGAGATAATCCTAGCTTTTAGCTGGTGTTGTCCTGTAAAGCTTTTGAGCATTCCTGCATCAGGGGAAGTGATTTTACTTACCTCCAGTCCCATCCTTTCATTTGGTGCTGGCTGATGGGCTGGGATGTTGTGAAGACCTACACGAAATATAGTATTTAAATGCTTTTGTATTCTTCCCAGCTGCATTGGTTGTGTGTTAGAACAGTGTTACTTCTTTCTTGCTGCATCCCAGTCTTGCTGGAAGAACCCATTCTATCCAGTGAGTATGAAGCTCCATTTGCACTGTTCCCTGCTCTTCATTATGGACAGGAATAAACCTGTGTGATGGTCTTAGATGCTGCTGCAGGAAACATTTGTGGCTTTCCCGCTTCCAAAATGTGTGTTCACCTTCCAGCCAGCTCACTGACTGCTCTGTGTGTGGAGGGGCTGAAGGGTGGGTGACAGGGCCCTGGAACAGGCTGCCCAGAGAGGCTGTGGAGTCTTCTCTGGAGGCTTTCAAAACCTGGGTGGATGTGTTCCTGTGTAACCTGCCTTAGGTGAACCCGCTTTGGCTGGGAGCTTGGACTAGGTCATCTCCAGAGGTCCCTCCAGCCCGAACTGTTCTGTGAAGGGGGGAGTCTAGGGCAGTGTCTTTGGGTCGCTGTGCAGTTCATTCTGATTGAAATAGTTATGAAACGTGGGTTATAAGAAACTGCACTCGAAGCCTGTGAAGTGGCAGTTAACTGAGGGGGATGGTGGCTTTCACCTCATCTAAGAAGGCTGTTGCTTAATCTGTGGTTGCTGTCACTGCTTATGGATAGGCAGGGAAGGGGAGAGGTAACCTTGTATCTCCACCTTTTCAGCATTGTCCTGAAAAATTTCATAGGGATGCCAAGAAAAGTCCTTCTGTCCTTCATCTCTTCTCACATTCCTCTTCCCCCCAGGTCCTTTGTAAATTTTGTGGTTTTTTTCAGTCTTTGGTTTGAGCCTCATTTTAATTCTTCTTGTCCTCTTTTGCAGACACAAAACTAGTCCAAACAAAATTTGAAAAGGCCTTCTTGTTAGGTAGTCCAAGACAGTCACTCCTCTTCTAGCAGGAGAGCAATACAAGCAGACTGAAAAGATGGTTCCAGTTCTGTGCACGTTATCCTCTTGCATCCATGAGAACCAAAGGTGTTGCACCACCACAGTGTTTATTTTGTAGCCAGTTTAGCAGATCTAGTTCTGTGGAAATAATTTGGATAGATTTAAGTTTTATAACAGACTTTACAAAAAAAAGGAAATGCGGGTTTTGGAATGATTTAATCAGTTCAGAAAAAAACCAACCCTTTTACCCCCAACATAGAGCTAAACCCCAACCTTTCAGAATCCTCTGTGAAAGAGGAACCAAAGTGTTTTTGGGGGGGGGCAAACAGGGTGCCCGTGTGATGGCCTGCGTGGCATCTCCATTCAAGGCATGTTGGTTGGGTGAATGGTTGCCTGGGAGCTCTGGGACGTTGAAACTGCTGAGATGCCCCAAACTGCTCTGAATTTGTGTAGTTGGAATCAGAAGCTCCCAGGGTCTCCCAGGCTTTCCGTCAGCATGCCAGGCAGCTTGCCAAGTAGCCTGAAAATTTGGGAGGCAAGGTGCCAAGCTCTTGGCTTCCTTTCAAATGGGCTGCTGAACAGCTGGGAATCTGGATGCTTGGGCTTCTCAACAGCCCACCACGTTAGCTGCTGAAGAGCTAGGCAGGCAAAGAAGGCTGGAATTTGTGGTGCAAACCTGTCTACTTTCCATCAGATTTTGGTTGAGGTTGAAACAAATCTGCCAGATATTTTAGTGTTCATGTGCTGCTGTCCTCGTGGTGATTTTTTTAATGTGATGACGTCTCGTCATCTCTCATAATATTTTATTTTGTCTGTCAAAATATTTGTTTAACTGAAAATAATACGTTTCAATTTAATTGCTTTAGCATCATTATTATTTTATAGAAATGTCTTCCAGGAATGCTGTCCTGGTTTTGGCTGGGCCAGAGTTAATTTTCTTCCTAGTAGCTGGTGCAGTGCTGAGTTTTGAATTTAGTGTGAGAGTACTGGTGATAGGACACCCATGGTTTGGCTGCTGCTCAGCAGCATTTGCACGAAGTTGAGGAGTTTTCAGCCTCTCACTCCACCCCACCTGTGAGCAGGCTAGGGGCAGGAGAAGCTGGGAGGAGACACAGCCAGGACAGCTGACCCAAACTGGCTAAAGGGCTGTTCCACACCATGTGACATCCTGCCCAGTAAATAAACTGGGGGGAGTTGGCATGGGGCCACTGTTTGGGAACTGGCTGGGCTTTGGTCAGCAGGTGGTGAACAACTGTGTTGTGCATCACTTGTTTGGTATATTCCAATTCTTTTGCCTTTTTTATTATTATTATTTTCCTTTCTTTTTCTGTCCTATTAAACTGTCTTGATCTCAACCCATGAATTCTACTCCACACACACACCCCTCCCCCTTCTCTCTCCCCTCTCCCACAGCAGAGGAGGATAGGGAGTGAGTGGCTGTGGTGTTTCTGCTGGGTTGAACCACGGCAGATGCTCTGTTTGGATTGGTGTCTAGTTTATAGTTACGTAACTGCTGGTGAGATTTTGGATCCTGTTCACTGATAACTAGCTGTAGTTCCCTCCTCTGTGGAGCAGACCTGATCCTTGCACCTTAAAACCTTGCTGATTTAATGTATTTTTTGATCAGTTGAAGTTAGTTATTGTATTTTCCTTGTAAGAAAAATCAGAAGTTGTTAAGAGGCCAACTGCTGATTCAGGTGTACGCTGCTGAGAACGTTACCTAGAACAGGAATAAATGGGAGGAAACTTCTGATATGTACAAGACTGAAGTCACGGGTTAGCTTAAACGTTACATAATTCAGTGCTGACATTTATCCCTCAAAATGAAATTATTTAAATCCCAATTTAAATTTAAAGCTTAAAAATTTTAAAAGTGCTTTCAGTTTAAAAGTTTTCACTTCTTATGTTTGCAGGCCTCGGAGTAGAGGAAAAACTGCAGTGGAGGATGAAGACAGTATGGATGGTTTGGAGGCAGCAGAAACAGAAAACACTGTGGAAACAGGTAATGAGAATATAGCACTGATGCTGTCTGGTTATTGCTTCTCTCTTGGAAATACATTTAATTATGGAGGGCTTGGGTAGACAAGAAATATTTCTTAATTTTGCAGTACAAGATGTGTGTTTGAACAGATATAAAAAATACCCTGTATTATTTAAATCTCTATTAATTAAAGCTGTGTGAACCTATTACTTTTAAATAGTCTAGTGGGATTGCCTTCATAGTGTAGCTGTGTAGAGGCTCTTTTTCTGGTTTTACAAGTCTGTATCTTAAGAAAAATAAAAGCTCTGAAGCAGGAGCTGCTATTTTTAGAATACTTGCTAAAATACAGTATTACTTACTGACCTCTCTCCTCAGCTAACTACAGCAGGTTATATACCAAAGGGGTAACTGGGATAACCAAATGTGAATGTGTCCTACTACTGCTTGGGGAACAAATAAATCTCTGTTCTTGCTCTTGTAAATATTTGTTATGATAGTTCCCAAATGCTCCCATTACCAGAGGGATCTCGTTGTACTGGACCAAGTACTGTTGCAACAGTCTGTGATTTCTGTTCTGGCAGGTTAGTAGTCTAAAGAGACAAGCAGATGAGCTAACACACGAGATAAAGGCCATGGTGAAGAACTGTCATCTCTTTGCCAGGCACATGTCTGTAGCCATTTGCCTGTTTTTAACCAGGGACTGAATATATGGAGAAAGATGGAGCTTGCCAGGAGGGCTGCTGCCATGGCCAATGGGCAAAACTTCTTTGGTTTGACAGAAATAAGCTTTAAAAACGCATTGAGACGTAAGGGTTTATAAATTCAATTAGTTGGTCCTGTACATGTAAGGAGCAAAGTGGCAGAAGCTGGTGGTAGGGGTAGCAGTTGCATGGAAATGCCAGCTGAGTTAGGGGACTTGTGGAATTACTGTCATAGTTGCTAAGTAAAGGTCGTAGAGTTGTGAAGTCTAAAAAATAATTAAAACAACAACTACAACAAAACCCCAAACAAACAAAAAAACCCAAAACAAACAAACAAACAAAACCCAAGCAAACAGGCAGAAGACCTCAAAAGAGCCTTTTTGCAGCAACATCTTATAGACCTTACAGGAATATGGTTGTGGTATTGGAAGCTATAAAAGAGGAGGCTGAAATTCCCCAGTGGCTGGAGGGTGAGCTTTGACTGGGTATGCTGGTCTCTTGCTTCTCTCTTGCTAGTTGGTGAGCAGTGGTGGAGGCTTTGAACTCAGCCCTCTAGGGTTTGGGGAGTGTCATGAGTGTTTAGTCACAACTTGTGTTGAATTTAAGTGTTGTTAATAGTTGGTGGAGTGAGTCTAGATTAAAGCTTAATGCAAGGATACTGCATGGGTTTATTCTGTAAGCTGCTGGTGGTTATGAACCTGAGTGGTCTTCTCCAGCTTCTAGGGGAAAGGAAGGCATGTTCTAGTTGTCCTCTATTCCATTTATTACTTTCCCTATCCCATGTGCTAGAAAGTCTTATGAAAATCAGCAAAGGGAACAGAAAGTGTGATTGTAAGTGGTAGATTTTGCAAATTTTAAATGTGGTTTTTTTTTTTTTTTCCATCAAACCAAAAAGCAATTCAAGCTTGACTGCTGGGACACCGCTGTGTAGGGGATTTAGTGAGAGCTCTATTTTTTTGGCTTCACATGTCATTATTAACAAAGTTCCTCAACAGAGATCCAAGAGCAATTTTTTACTTTGGAGGAAAGAGGAATGCAGATAATTATTTTTAAGGCTCCAGGAGTGCATGTAGATAAATCTTTCTATTATCCTTCATCAAAATCATGCTGGCTGTCACAGAGGGCTGACGCTGCTTTCTGAAGGTTCAGGCAGCAGCGGAGCACTGTGCTGGAAATCCTGACAGACACAGACTCCGCTGGGCCTGCTGCTGGGAGCAACCACCATCACTGCAGTGCTGAGCCCAGGGTGCTTCTGCAAACTCTATTCTTAAGTGAAAAGAAGCTTAGTAAAAATACACAGGTCTGAAATCCTATTTTGACAAGGGGATCCAGAATAGACTTGAAAGAGCATGATTGTCTTGAGCAGTTTGATAGAGACAGAATGGCAATTGTGGTATTTTAAAAGTTGAACATCATGTGACTTGATAAAGGTTTAATCATATTAATTGAGAAGACTGCTGCCTCTAAAACAACTTCTAGGCACTTATCTCTGTTAATAATAAAGTGTGGGAGATGGAGTAATCACAGTTTGCTGCTCCATGTAAAACTGTTAATCAAATTGAAGTATATTTGTGTTCCAATTTATGATTTTCTGTTTTTTTGTACTAAAAAGGCTTTTTGTGTTCTTACAAAAAGTGGACTTGCCAGCAGTTTGCTGCAGTTTTTAGCAAACCAAAGCACAATATAGTAATATTTCAAAACTCAAAATGAGATCATCTGAAGATAAAAAAACCTCACGACATGTGACTTCTGACATATTTTGAGCCACTGTATTTCTAGCTTCTTTTCCATTGTCTGGCTCATGTGTTGAGTATAATCAGGAATTATTCTACTGTGTGAGGTTTTCATTCCTTGTTTTTGGTTTGAGGGGGGTTGTCTCTATTTTGTTTTATTTATGGAGTCTAGCATTACTCGTGCATTTTTGTGGATTAATTAATTTTCATAAAATGAGAGAAGTCCATGTTGTAAATGTTGTCTTTAGTGTAGTAAGTGCTACTTCAGGGAAGGGAGCGATGCAGGAGAAATGAGAATTTTCCTTGCAAGGAGCAAAAAAGGGGATGCCACTTATAATCCCACCTAGAATAAAGAGGTGTTTTCTAACTGTCAAATATTCTAGGGGGGGGAAAAATCAAGGGAGCACGTAAGTCCTAAACTGTATACATTTTTTCTGTTTGTAATGTTGCCACAACCCTTTGTTGAGAAGAAGGAAACCAGTTCTTCCCGAAGGGGCTCTGAGTCAAAGGCACGGCCATTTTAGTGGCAGCCCAGGAACCCAGCTGGTGCCTTCCCAGGATTCTGTAACCTCCTGTGTCAGAAGGGGCAGGACTGGAAGCGAGGCAGGGTCAGCTGTGTGCTGCTCTGATGGTTTCAGTAGGGGTGGTTATCCCTGCCAGCTACAGGGATTCCTGCGCCCTGCTGGTTCTCTGCCAAGTGCTATGTGTGCTTTAGTAGAAATGACCATAGAATTCTTAAGGATGGAAAGAGAAGAGGGATTTGGAATTGGAAAAAGGAAATTGTGGAATTTGGGAAGATGATCTGTTTGGAACTAAGTTGACTTCTTCCTAAAAAATACTGCTGGTAACAGCTTCTACTGAATTATTACACTTTGAGCTTCTTGTCACCCTCAGGATGGACAACTCTCCTTTACCCACCAGCCCTGTCTGTCTTGCTGACTTCCTGGTTTCTCCCTTAGTGACTATTTTGCCTCTCAGCTATGTATTGGGCTTTCCAGTTTTCTATTTACTCCATTTTTCTTCACTGTGGTTCCCACCAGTGACTTTACACTGGTACCTTTCTATGTAACCAATGTTGAGGTTACCCATCCCTCCTGTCATTTTAGCACCCACAGCATCATGGAATGGTTGAGGTTGGCAGGAACATCTGAAGGCCATCTGGGCCAGCCCCCTGCTCAAGCAGGGCCACCTACAGCCAGTTGCTCAGGACCGTGTCCACACAGGTTTTGAGTATTGTCAAGGATGGAGACTCTGCACCTTCCATGGGCAACCTGTTTCAGTACTTGGTCACCCTCACAGTAAAAAGGTGTTTTCTGATGTTCAGAGGGAATTCTCTGTGTTAATTCTTTGCTTATTTCCTCTTTTTTTTTTTTTTTTTTTTTTTTGAGAACACTTGTGGAATATCCAACTCCTCCTAAGGTCTAATTCTTCCTGTCTTTGCGGAACATAACAATGTTGAGATTCAGACTCTGCTCTGACAGAAGTGCAATTAAATAAATTTAATTTAACTGCTGAGTCTCTTGGGAAACTCATAATAAATCCATTGGGTGTTCTGTTTACTGTATGTACCATGTCAACCCATTCTGAAAGTACATCAGTACTTAATAACAAAACTTTATTTCCACATGGTGTCTGGAGGCTTCAGAACTGATAATACATAGAAGGACATGTATGATTTTATCAACCAGTAGCTCCTTGCCTGCATTATTGTCATTAGTAACGTTATTTTCAGACCCAGTGATGTTGCCTGGCCAGTTGATTTCTTGTTGGACTTCACGTTAACTCCCTGAAGTCTTCCTCTAACCAGCCTCTTTTTGTCTTGGGGCAAAGCACAGAAGAAGCAGAAACAAACACTTCTCAGTGCAGGAAAGTTATCTGTGTAGGAGCTGCCAGAGAATTTTGGACTGATTCAGAATCTCATCAGCTTTGAAGCAGCCTGAAAAGCACTTTTCTAGAGAAAAAAGATACTGCAATATCCTACGTAATAGAGGAAGTACAGTCACCCTTTGCAACAGTATCAGCAAGGCTTAGCAGAGCCTTACGCTAGGACAAGTAAAACGCATCTAAGAGGAAATCCTGGTTTGGGTGAATCAATGGCAAAAGCTCTCATCAACTTGTTAATGCCAAAAACATTTTAAAATCCACTTTCTGTGGAGTCACAGATACTTTGGCCTCATCACTACACCATTTGTCTCTCTAATACTAATGAAAGGAAGAATTGACACCACTGGGGACATTGCCTGTAGATGGAATCTGTCCGTAAATATTTTTTTTGGCGAATACGTGCTTTAAAATGTCCTTAAATATATTTTAAAGTAGTTAATATTCCCTGTGCTGATTGTAAGAGGAGTAGTTCTTTGTTTCTTAGGCAGCAGACTCTTACCTGTCCAACCACTGGAAAAATTGGCAGAACTGAAGCATCTTGTTCCTACGAGCATCTTATTATTTTTTCACTGTAGTCTGGTAATTTGCTTGTAATAAGGAAACCAGGCACAACAGGATGTTATTTGGTATTTGCCTTTAAATGGCTTGCTTGATAATACCATTTATCATAATGCACACTTAAAATGGGCCATTTAGGAAAATC